ATGGCGTTAACGCCGTGGAGGAAAGGTAGTAAATCCCGATGGATGGCGATTTCAGTCACGAACAACGCGGGAATGCCCAAGTAGGGCGTTTTCACAAGGTCAGCGTCTAATCAGAGCCCGGCGCATGATAAAGAAGTGGAAATTTTCTTGTCCTTTTTTACGGAGTGTATCTATCCTCTGAGACCAAAGGCTAGTTGGTCAAAACAGCACGTTTTTCCCCCTTGCCTAGCCGCAATAAAATATCGTTAAATCTTCTGCATGCATTACTTGTCCTTTTAATAATTTTAGCAACTCAAACGAGTGTTAAATAAATCCTTTACCTGGTCTCCTTGCTTCATAGTTTTAACAACCTCGTCATCATTTCTGACACTTTCAAAACGTACATCGCCAACACCAGCGCCCCGAATGTCCATCATCTTTGCTTTCTCGTTAAACAAAAGTTCAGCCGAGTCACCTTGTGGAAGTCTGGTCATGATGACCTTTCCATTCCAGTCGTACGAGAAATGTGTTCCATAGATGAGCTTGTTTTTCTTGTTAAAACCTGTTATGTTACTCAGGAGTCCATACTGGTTCCACGAGTACTTGACAGTGGATGAAGTAGGGTAAACAATACTTGTAAGATCGCCGTGGACGTTGTACGTGTAATGAGTGATTTGTTCACCAACAGTGACAGACAAAAGAGACCCGGTATCCCAACTGTATGAGTAGAAACTACGGGTAAAATATGACCAGACGTTTAATTTTTAAGTATGTCAAAGCGTAGTGTGTAAATGAAAATCTGTATCATTAATTTATTTCTCCCTCAAAAGGGCTTTCAAGGCCGATACGAACAGATCCACGCAAAAACTTTATATAAACATAGCGTATAAAAACATCCCAACTGGATAGAGGTAGACCAGTTGGCTGTATACAAAGCGCAGCCAAAGAGTCGAAGTGGGAGCAACCGAGAACAAATCTAACGGGTAGCAGGGTGGAGAGCCTGGATCCGGGACCACCGGATGAGAAGCCTAGTGCCCTAATCCCTCCACCACATTGCCTCCGTAGTAATTTACATTTTCGAAGGTTTGACAAGGGAAGGAAAAACATACTTACCATCTCTGTTTTTCATTCGATCCATCTTCAAATTGCGCCTCTCGTACAAATCCTATGTCGTTGTATTTCA